ATCAGATTGCAATTTTTCTCCAGCTCCATGCCAAGATGTCATGCACAACCACATAAAAGCTTTTAAGTATATGATACCAAATCTTAAAATGTATATGGCATATAATCTTCTAATAATTGCTATATAATCATTTCAAAAGATAAGTGATCTGAACCTCGTTTTTTGCTTCCTTGCTTTTAAATCATATAGTATCACTTCTAGATGGTAAATTCAGATTTACAACCAGAATTTTTCATAGAGTACATAATTAATCTCACTCTAAAGTCTATTTTTCATCTCTATTAACAATACCATCAGCATAATCTTCATCATCCATCAAGGTGCGTGACATTTAAATCAATCATATAATTAAGGACGACGAACACAGGCCGTAATGGCTCGAAAGAAGATGAAGCATAATGAAAGCTCATATGACCACGTAAATCTCGTTTTGAATGAATACACATGATACAAATGTTACAAGTGGTAACGACAAGATTCACCCACCTCAAACACACTTTTAACCCCATCAAACGCAACACCATTGACCTCACCACTTCCACTTTAGTAAATGAAATAGAGTACAAATTAGAAGTTCCTACGTCCAGGGATAAAACACCTCAAAATGTCTTATAAATTCTGTTTTTTATTTACATATTTATAACGTGAATGTTGACCAGTCCAAGTTTGACATTTTTCAATAGACAATATTCAATAATGTAAAGGGAGTATTGCGTAAAAAGACCGTGAAAAGTCAAATAGGAAAACCAAAGATTTAATTGCTTACTTATGTATAATCATCACAATCTAGCTAATCAAGTACTCATTTAGTTAATTATTATCAAATATTGCTAAACACCATGCTTAATTATATACAGGTGTATAGATTTCTAAAATACAGAGTACATTGTTTATTTGCAATATAATTGTTAGGGTTGGTGAGTGCACAGTAGAAACAAATTAATTAAAGATGTAGAGATTACGTAGTAAATAAATGGACACACAATATTTAACTTGGGAAAATTATCAAAAACCCACAACGACGAGTACCCCCACTATATTAAAATAGGATATTACAATACCCCTTGAAAGAATGAGTAGTACAAGAAATAGAGTGTTAACTATTAAGTATTGGAGTATTGAAGATATGTAGGTTAATACATGCTCCCAAATGATGCCCAACACCACTATTCCAAATGATGCCCAACACCATGCCACTATTTATAAGTGATGTATAGAGGTGGAAGAAGTACGTGGAAAATTCTACATACATGCTCTTTAAATTGCCACATAAATCTAAAATCTTCATGAGCATGCATTAACCAATTCTAGAGTTTTCTACAATACTCCATCAATTTCTCAATATACGAGAATTTTCTAGAAATTTTTGGATACCTTGAGACATAATTAATTTGGCTTATGGATTTTAGGCCACACTAACCCAACACAATATATAAACAAGATTAGTGAATAATGAAGGGTTATACCTTGACTTATGAAAGTATCTAAAGTTGCACGCCTGCCAAAACCCTAATTAACTCTTGTCAAAAAAAAAAAAAAAAAAAAAAAAAACCTAATTAACAACATCTTCGTGTGCTTGTGTTTGCATCACTTTTGGTCAAGGGCTTGAATCAATGATTCATGCGCTTAGTGATTATATATTGTGAGTTTGTGACAATTGCGTGCTAGTCTCACTCTTAGGTGTAGCCGTGTAGGTTTACGTATATTTATGTCGAAATACTGCACATGGTCACAATTTGCTTGGGTTAGTTGGGCACACCAAAATATAACTTTTGATTTAATACTTGAATTGTTTTGTTTAGAGGTTTTTGAATTAGAATGAATTGATCTGGTCTAGTTCTATTAACACGTGACTAAATTTGTTGCAATGTGTATTTTTCATACATTAATTTATTTTTAATATATAAAAATAAAGATTTTTTTTATATACAACTATAAAAAAAAACTAAAGATTGATGAACCATAGCTAGAAATTTTGATATACAAGTGTGAACATTCATACAGAAAGATCGAATTTATGGAATTGAAGTGAATATCTCATTTCGAAATTTGTCGTTGGCGTATATGATTTTAAACTGAGAAAGTAGTTTAAAAAACAACGGAATCATCAGTCAAGTAGCTTAGCAATCTCTATTCTCTATTAAAAAGTTAGACCATCTATTTTTATTTGGAAAAATTGGTAAAAATAATCCCAATTTTTGCTCGTTCGCTCAAAATAATCCCAACTTTGAATTATTTTTAAATAATCCAAACTTTGGTTGTCATTCACTTTAAATAGTCTCAAGTGATTGGTAACCTGTTAAAGAGGTAATTTTTTTTTTTAGGATTAAGTAACACGGACACAACGAAATTAGTTGAAAAAAAAGGAAAACTTTTTTTTTAAAAAAAAAAAAACAGCTCACCCACGCAACTCCAATTATATTCCGACAGCCCTCCCGGCCACCCAGCCAGCCAGGTTCCCCCGCCCCCACCCTACGTCGCACCCTTTCCCCCGCGCCGCCAGAGACGCCCCCTCCCCCTACCCCCGATCTTCCCTAAACCACCACCGCAGAACCCCCATCCACTAGTCAAAATCTCATTAAAAACCCCCTCCCTACTATATAAACCCCCAGTTGGAGAGGGCCCTAGGGGTTTATATGGTGGGGGAAGTGGGTTTTTTTTTTTTTAGATTTCGGGGTGTTTGGCGGTGGTGGTTTGATGGTTTAGGGGGAAGGACCGGCGAACGGTTGTAGGGGAAGGGTGTCGCCGACGTAGGAAGGGGGTTTGGGTGCGGCGGGGGTGGTGGGATGAAGAGAGGGTCGTGGGTGGTGGTAGGGAGGGTGGTCAGTGTGGCTGGGGTTGTTTTTAATTTTTGTAAGTTTTTTTTGTTTTTTTTTTTAAAAAAATTTTCAGTTTTTTTTACCAATCACATGGTGACACGTGTCATCTTAATTTGCTATAACAGTTGGGTGACCGGTTGGGATTTTTTTGAGCGGATGACCCATAAAGTTCGGATTATTTAAATAATTTCGAGCGATAAAATTTGGGATTATTTTTACCAATTTTTCCTTTTTATTTTTATTTATGTATTTTTTTACAATTACACTATTTATGTACTAATTTATATTGACCCCAAGTTTTTGTTTCTCTTTTAAATAAAGGTTACTCCATATAATTAATAAACCATGTTGTTGGATTAAAGTTAATCTATATTGTGAAAACATTAAAATTTTGTATTTTTAATAAAAAATTTAATGGCATTATTAAAAGAAATACACAACAAAAAAACACGGGCCAACTAGTATTATTAAAAATAATACGGAGTAATTGTTCATGAGTGAACTTCCTGAGCTATTTTGTTTCCTTTCTTTTCCATTTTTCGCCAGCTCCATGCCAAGTTGTCATTCACAACCACATAAAAGCTTTTAAATATATTCATGATACCAAATCTTAAAATATATATGGCATATAATCTTCTATTAAATACAATATAGTAGTAATCATTTCAAAAGATAAGTGAACCTCATTTTCCGCTCCCTTGGTAAATTATACGAGTAAAATTATAATTCTAAGTTGCACCAAGATCCCTCAAAAAAAAAAGTTGCACCAAGGTAGCTGCCAAAAACTCAAAAATCATAGAGCTGAGTGTCAATTTGAGATAGTAAATCGAGATTTATAACCAAAATTTACCACTTTTATAATTATCATTAATTATATTTACCATATAAGATGCAATATATGATTATTCATCAAAATACATTTTTTTTTTTTTTTTTTTTTTTTGAAAACATTCATCAAAATACTTGGTCAAACGTAAGAGTGAACGGTAGAAATTGCAACTAAGCTAAAACAAAATTAGTGCAAAAGTGTTTATTTAATTAATTTAGTCACATTTTGATTAACCCAATACTATCCAAGCTCATTGCAAATAGTCTAATTTCATCTCTATCGAGGTTAATTAAGAAGTTCATATACACCTATTCCGCAATTCTTATCCTATTTTTTTTTTTTTTTTTTTTGATAATACTAAGTGTATATTTATCTTCACATAAATAGACGAATCATATTTAAGCACAATGTGTAGAGAATATTTTCTTACGTGTGAGTAAACTCTATCAGTAAGAGTTAACATAAATCATCATACAGAATATGTATTTTTTTCAATCTATGTGAAAAAAAAAGCTAGCTAGAGTTTATTGACTTAAGAAAATAAAATTTGAATTTATAATACATACTTCCCATTCCAGAGTAAGAAAAATAAATTTTTGGTGATCAAAACTAATAGTGTAACAAGTTAAATAACAGATACCTTTTAAAAAAATAAAAATAAAATAACATATAAACATACTTTCCTGCATTGATTCATAAAAGTCCAAACATATGCACACGTCCAAAAGTTAGTTTTATATTTTGAATCCACGCATCCTAAGAATAAGGCGCTTAATTTGATTACTTTTCCGCGTGCAAGAGTTCTAACTTCTTACGCCTAAACAAATTTTCCCGCTTATTATTTTTTTTAAGGAAAAATAATACTTGCTCAAATTCAAATTATTTTTATAAGGCCAAAGCAACTAATTTGTAGTAAGTCCAAAAGAAACCAAAATTGAGGTCTCACCAAAAGTAAAGGGAAACAATAAAGATTACCAGAGATACAATAATATTTTTTTTTTCTTTTTTTCTTTTTGACAAGTGACATACAAAAACTGAAAGTGAGGGAGTGATAATTAAATTCTTTAATTTGGCTTATGTAGTCATTATGAATCCCATAATTACTGTTATATGTATAATTCTGAGTTTCTAAGAGTGTCTACCAATGTATTTTCCCTCGTTACTTTAATTAATTCATGCCATTTGATATATATGAAAGAAGCGAAAGATTACAACTGACTAAGAACTTTGATATATATGAAACAAGCGAAAGATTACAACTGACTAAGAACTTTGAGATATATATGAAACAAGCGAAAGATTACAACTGACTGAGAGCTTAAAGTAAAGTGCTAATTAGCATGAAAAAGCTTTCAAAATCCCGAATCAATAACACCTTCCACCTCATCCATTAAAGAGACATTTAAGTCGATCATGTAAGGAAGGCGATCACTCTGACCCAGTGGTGGCGAGCTGGTTTGAGCAGACGGTGAGCTGGTTTGAGCAGACGGTGTATGGATGGTTTGAGCCGGTACGGGTGGTGACGACGAAGAAGATTCACCCACTTCAATGACACTTTTAACCTCACCACTTCCACTTCTACTCCCCGGACCCACATCAGTTAACCCGGACCGTTGATCGATCTGAATTGGATCATGGGCTAGGGTTAGGGCATCTTGGGCTAGGGTTAGGGCTAATGACGATTTTGAATAATTCTTTTTGTTGTGACTTGATCTGTGACCTCCTAAAGCTTGGTGACTGTTGAATATCTTCCCACAAGTACAACACGACCAATCAAGTGGCGTCTGCGTCTGCGGCGAATAACCGCTATTATCATTATCACCACCATCACCATCATCGTCATCTTTCTTATGATGCTTCTTATTAGGTCGTTCAAACCCGGGTTCCAAACCCGAAACCCTCTTCCTCTTCTTCTTCTCCTTCTTCTTCTTCTTCTTATCAGATTTAGTACTAACAACAACAATCTCCTCATCATTCCAACTAGCTAAACTCGAATCCGAATTATAATAATCATCAGCAAAAACACTCGAAATCCCCAAATCATCTTGCAAAAAATACAACTCATCTTCATCAAATTCCTCAATTTTTAACCCTTTTTCCTTCAAAATCCCTTCAATTTCTTCCAATTTCTCTTTTTTAATCCCACTTTTTTTCTCCTCCATCTTTTTCTTACCCAATTTCTCCCTAACTAACCTCTTCACCTTCTTCGTAAATTCACCCTCATTCTCATTCTCATTCTCATCCTCATCCTCGGCTTCGTCTTTACTAACTCCGACAGAATTAGCCATATACAACATCAGCTCAGTAGCAGCCGCCTCGAAACTCGACGATCCGACCTCCATCGTAGTCGAATCCATTATCTTCTGTCCTCTCTTCCCAGTAACCTTCCACCGCAACTCTCTAACACCGCCATCATTATCATCCTCGTCCTCATCCTCATTAACGAACCCGTTAGGCGGTTCCATACCGCGGTATTTACGATCAGGGTTAGACCTCATATGACCATAAAGAGCCTTCTCAGAATGATACCTTCGATGACAAATATTACACCAGAATTCCTGGTTACCCGAACTCGATCCGACTACGAACTTTTGCTTCTTCGCCGACTTATAATCAGCGTGTATTCTTAAATGACCTCCGAGTGCTTTTCCGTTACTGAACTCTTTTGAGCAATGTGGACAAACCCTTTTGTTAGTGTTTACAACTTCTTCGGGTTCGGGTTCAGTTTCGAGTTCGAGTTCGGCTTCCTTCAACTCATCATCATCAACAGGAGGAGTAGATTTTTTTGTTTGGAATTTGAGCTTGATTTTGAGCTTATTTTTGTCAGGATTTTTTGGTTCCATTGAATTGGAATTGAAGAGAGAAAAAAACAAAGAAAGATTGCGGGAAAAAAACGAGAAAGAAATTGAGTTGAATGAAGAATTGAAGCTAAGTTAGGGCTTTTTAAACACGGGAGAAAGCAAAGAGGGGTAGCTCAATTTAAAGAGAGATAGGAAAATAGAAAAAAGATAAAAAAAAAAAAAAAAAAAAAAAAAAGATAGATTAAAATAAGACTTTTCGGTTTTTTTTTAATTTTTTGATTTTTATTTTTGGAAAATTTTGACACAAAATAGAGATTTTTAAGGGTAGTAAAATATTATTAAAAAAATGGAATTTGGGGGTGCGGGTCAAACATAGGATTATGATTGGGTGAGTATTATATAGAAGTTGGGAATGAATTGAATAAAATTTCCTTATTGTTGTTTCAATTATTTGTAGGTATTTAATTTTCAACCCTTTTTCTTTATAATTTTTAATTGTATGATTGTTTGTTAATTGATGACTAGGTCATGACATCACTTGTCAATGGGAGATCTTCGACTTATGGGGTTTGGTTTTTACTTGTTGTGAAGTTTGATACGGAGTAATATGCTTAAGAATAAAGCTTTACAAAAAATAAATAAAAATTTACACGAGTGATAGCAATTAAAAGAGTAGATATTTGATTAGTACAATTGAATTTTGGATATTTTTATATTTCTAAAATGATTTATATGCAAGATATGTTTGTATGAAAGTTCCATCTTTTTGGAATAATATACTCCTATTATCATATGATATGAAGTATGTCGTCACTAGCTCAGTTACTCTTACTAATTAGGGTTTGATGCTAGCCTTTAAAATCGGTTAAATTTTTATATTTGAGAGCCAATGCATGATGAAAAATGAGATTAGATTAGTATTATATCAAATCTACTAAACGACAAGCGCATTATTTTTCACATTAATTATGTTATTATACTATAGAGTTGATTATGGTTTACCAAACTCGATTCATGCATTTTCAACATTGTTAGCTCATTCTAGCTAGTCTTATTAACCTACAACATTTTGTTTGACAAGCTAATTAAATGGCACTCTTGACTATCAACCGATAAGAGAGTACTCGTTTCAAGGTGATGATGGCGGTGGTGATGGTTGTGATTGTGACAGTGTTTGTGGGCGAGGATTGAGGAGGTGATGAAGGTGAAAGAATTCGCGCATAAAGGAGGGAAAATGATTTTTATGGTAGGAAAATACTAAATATTGTTTTCCTATTTTGTTGAAGTTTCACCTCGTATTTTTACATTTTATTTTTATTACCTAATTTTCACTCATCTAACCTAAACTTGTAAAATTATTAAATCTTGAAATGTTAAAACTTGTTTCTATTGTATTTAATTTATTTGCACTTATTTTTTCCTAAATGAACTTTTTAAAATTATTTTTTAACAAATCGAGTTAATCTGACAATTGAGAAATTGACTTTATGTATCTCTTATTTTTCCAAACTTAAATTAGCTCAACGTTATGTCAAATACCTAGAAATTAGAGGAAGGAAGCTTAATGTAACATAATTTTTAGAGGAAGGAAACTCCAATTCATCAACTTTTGGCAAAATTTAAGTCAAGATTGCAGTTCTAAGGTGTGTTTTAATCACTTGATTTTCACTATACATTTGACTTTGTATTAACACATTTCAACTTAGTAGCTTTTAAATGAACTAATCTGAGCTTATTGTACATGCTAATCAAATTGTATAAAACTTAATTTTCTAAAATTCATTTTATTTAAACTTTCTTTTTTTTAAGCTAAACTTATTTGGACTTAAGTCATATTATGTTCATCTTACCTTCACATGATATCTGTAGATTATTTATAAAGGCTCATAAGTTTAAATAAAACGCTATAATCTTCACCTTAAATAGATAATGATATTGTAAAAAAAAAAAAAAAAAAAAAAAAAAAAAAGATTTAATTCTAGCAAAAAATAATTTCTATTCGATAATATTAGTTAAGTTTAGTAAAAATAATTTAAGCCCTATAAATTAAGTTTGATAATTAAAATTCAAAATTTTTAAATAACAAATAGTATAACATATAATCGGTAATAATAAGTTTAGTTTTAAAAAATGTATGAAACCTACTTATGTTGTAATTAATCTAGTTTGAAATAAAGTGTCTAACAAAAAAAAATAGTATAACAAGTTTTGATCCTTAGTAATAATTCAAATGTAGTAAAAATCATTTAAATTTGGTAAAAATTATCTAAATTTAGTAAAAATTTATTTAACTTTAGTAAAAATAATGTAAGTTAAGTAATTATTATCAGATGAAGAAACAATAAGTTTGAGAAAAATAAAGATTATTAAGTCAATTTAATTTAATAAGTTCAGTTAAATTCAAAGAAGTTTATGAACAAGTGAAAATAAGCAGAGGATAGCAAAACCAACTTTTAATTAAAATAAACATCCAAATGAACTTAATAATGATCTGTTACAACCGCAAGCCGGCCTTTTCGGTTTCTTGCGATTTGACCTTCTTTAGTCCTTAGTCCTTAGGACTCCTTACTCCAAGCTTTCCATGTTCTTGAAAACGTTTATCAGCAGTTTACACAATGCTATTTGTTGATCGAAGTACTTACCTTTTTTTATTTTTAGGTGCCACTCGCAAGATTTTACACCTGTATTATTTTATTTTCCTTATTTTAAGGTTCAATTATTATTAAGAGCTGTTTTACACTTTCCTTAATGGAGATTGTGATTTTATTTCATATCAAAGATAAGATTTTGATTGGAGATTTTTTATTTATTTCCTAAAAATTTAGATAATAGATAATAATTTTTTTGATTTAATTCCTAAAATACAAATTTCTTGTGACTTTGCATTAAATTGAGAGTAATTAACAAAATTAATGGAAAAAGAAGACAGCTCTTGTGTTTGAATTACTCAATTACTATATGAACTATGTCCCTATCCAGCATTCCCTATCTCACGGAATGCATGGTTAGTCGAAAGTTGAAATTGCGCCCTTTAGTCACTTTCAAATTTATTTTGTTACTCACTATGTTTCATAATAACATTCAAACTCAAAATTTATTGGGATATTATGGCACATAAGTATTTTTTTTTTTTTTTTTTTTAATGGTGTTTAGAGAGCCACAAGGACGAATGATGAGAATCGATCCCAAAATCTCTTGGAACTGGAGGGTAGCTCTAACCACTTGAGTTATCCCTCACTCTCATAAGTACTTAGTATAATAAGTTAATAGTTACTTCTCTATCTGTCCCTATTTTTTTTTGTCCATTTGACTGTGCATGGTCTCCAAGATGCGTCTTAAAATGTCTATATTTTTATTTTCAGACACATAAAAATTAATAAAACGTGATATTAATAAAATATATAATGAGATGAATCTAACAAAATCACTCCTGACACTATATTTTTTTTTTTATAGATTAACGGTAATTTATGGTCAAAGTTTTCAAATTTAAAGTTTGACCCAAAAAATGACAAAGGGGCAAAAATAAAGAAACAAAGGGATTATAAATTTAAAAGTCTACAAAAAAAATAAGGATTGATGACATTCTTTGACAGATAAATATTTATTTTGCATGGTGCAAACCAACTAAAGTAGTTAACATATAACAATGACAACAATAAATTTCAATAATAAGACACAAGTCACATTTATTTTTTTTTATTTTTTTTTTATCATGTTGTAGACTCGTAGTTATGCAACTAACATACGAAGTATAAGTTGTATCTTACTAACTTCCTCCCTAAAAAAAAAAAAAAAAATAACTTCCTCCGTTATTTATTAATTGTAGTAACAATGAGAGTTTTACATTTGCTATAATTGCTAATGCACATTTTATATCATTAATATCTCTAATATTCTTCGGTAAAAAATAAAATACTACGTATAACTATGTACAACAAGATTAAATTAGGCCCTACTCCGTCACTTATTTCATGAAAAATATTCAACTTGAAATTTAGAATACACCACTAATCAGTTCTCACATTATACCGTGTGAATGTGTGATCGCTCTCTTACTCTTTTTTAATTTTGTGTGTTTATTCTTCTCATTAAAAATGAAATTACTTATTTATATATTTTGTAATTTTTGGTGAACTTGATGAAAATTAAAAAAAAATAAAGATACTTTTGGTAGTCACATTCTTGAGGATAACGTAAGCTAGGCGATTTGAGAATTGAGATGACAATGTATAATATACAGATTATTTTCTTAGGATAATTATATGTACAGTGATAGGATAAAATTCATTAATAACTTAACAATATTTATTCCCCACTCTAACCTTTTTATACGATATAGTCCAATTTTATTAACGAATTAAATCTTTAAAATTTACTAAGAAAGAATTATCAAGATATTAGTAGAAAATCACTTGCACATTTTTTATTTTATTTTTTAATGAGGAGCTCTTAGTTAATTGACTTAATTTTATATCGTAACAAATAGTCCAATCTTTAGTGTAAGGGGTTAAAATGCAACTCAAGTAAGATTGCGAGTTTTGGATTTACGTGGTCCACTAGCAAGACATTAGCTACTTCTACTTTTAGTTTAACATGGAAATGTGTCATCGGATGATAATGACAGATTGACAGTCACTCAAAGCATGATCCAAATATGATCTCATAAAGTGAAAATTTGAACTAGGGCAGTAGAAAAAATTCAAGGCAATATTGATAACTTGATTTTGGAGGCGCAATCAATCGTACTTTGAGAAAGGGTAAATAGACATCAAAAGGCAGATCACCTGCTAATTTCTTATACACATTTTACAACTACTAGGAAGCTAATTTCTTATACACATTTTACAACTACTAGAAAGTCTAGGATCGATCATCATCCTGGTTTGTGCCTTGGCTTGGTCGATATCAACTGCTCGTACTTGGTACGTTGCACACAAAACAATCTTCTTTCAATAAATGGCGTGAAGGTAAGTAACTTCACATTTATATCTCAAACCACCGACCTTTAAATTCATAAAATTAATTTTTACCCTGAAATA